TGAAGGTGTCCTTTGAGAGTAGGTGCCAATGACACCAGCGTCAGCGACATCCAGATGAATGAGCACGATCGCTTCTAAATCAGTTGGAGGAATTATTTTAAGGCACCAGATTTATGTAAGTAGAACGTGTGTTGAGCCGTGTTGGTGATCCGCGGAGGAAAGCAATACGACTTAATTGGCCGTTTTTCCCCAGTAATAGAACAAATTTCCGATCTCCCAGGCTCAACGGGTGCGAACGTTCATACCACAGCTCTGGCCCCGTCCCACTCGACTCATTCGATTGAGGCGCAGCATAACGAGTCGACGAAGGCGAGTATCAGGCCCAACTTGGGCGGAAAAGGGCGAATGCTCATGGAGAAACTACGGGCACACACTGCACACTTGTTGCAGGGGGCAACGCGCAGAAGCGTAGTTTTCCGACTCAGCCCTCAGTTGCTGAGTCCTGTTGGGACAGACTTTGACCAGAGATCAAATATTGAGGCGGAAGCATTTTCTTGATTGATTTGGTCCTCCTGTCATTGCGTGGAAAAATTGATCAACTGCCCTATGTCCTGTGTAATTATTTACCACAATTTGAGGCACGGGCATGCATCCCACTTCTTACTCTGATGAGGAAAATTCGACGGAAATATACACTGGCGCTTCCGCTTGAACAAGGGAGAAGATTCGATCTGAGACTCAGGTAATTCGAGACGAAGATATGCGAGTTTTGTGGACGGATGCAAGCTAGGTCTAGAACGAATAGGGCTCATCAGGGAGGCGTCGTCATTTATGTAAGGACCTATGGCAATTTATTGCCTGCAAATCCATATAAAAAGTTGTTCGACAGTTCAAGGATCTGCATCCGTTGTACCCAACACCCCCTTCTCCCTTCCCAACTCTCTTCATTCCCGACTGCTGGGGCATCTAGGAAATACTTCAGCTGACGAGGCGATTGGATCTTCATTTTTTGTGAGTACACCTGATCTCACTTCCGTTGTGTCATACGTCGGTAGGATCTGATTGAACATTCCCCAGTTTGCCTTGATCTCAACACGCGTACTCCCCTTCGCCAGCCAAAAGCCATCATACTCAACGTTTAACATCACCACCACCGTCCGTTCCTCGATACCACACACTGTGAGAGTTTATCGTTTATTACAACCATAGTATACCCGTCTCAAGGAACTGACGATATGTCGCGATATTCGAATCGGATGTCATTCATACCCAATCAATAGAATGTCGCCAGGAGGGCAACCTGGCACACGGGCATCCAGGTATTTGAGGACTTCGCCTGTGCATCCAATCTCATGACTCATTGGTTCCACAGCCAGGATGCCCATACACCGGATAATGAACCCCAGGTGCCTCCACCTGGGTTTCATTATCCCGCATGGCTTGCCCTATGTGGCGGCCATGAACACGTTTTAGAGCCCGATTGGGCTCTAAAAACCGTTGTTGAAGCGCCCATCGAGGCGTTGTTCCCCAACATGCCAATTGGCATGATCAATGAGTACCGCGTGAGTAATCTTTCATCTTCCACATGTCGTTTACTGACCAATAACATAGTGGCAGTACTTCCATGCCAGGGTATGCCTGGTCTGCCAGGAAATTAGGAGGCGCGCCCGGGATGAGAGGCGCAGGAGGTAAGTCTTCACTAGCAAAGTCGGACGGCGACATCGGCCAGGCTAACTGTTCCACTAGGCAACGGTTGATCTTACGGTGATCAACTTGCCTTTGTAAGTGGTGGAATTCTCCAGGCCAGCTGATTGGCTGAAGGTATAACGCCGTGATGTTGCCTTTGCAGGAGAAACCCAAACATAGTAGGGACGCCGACGCTTCAAGCTGGTGCCCCATTCGGAATGGCTTCCTCCTGCCGGTGCCACAAGGCAGCGCCATGCCCTAGCGTATACGATCCAGGGTTGTATCATCATCGAGATCAGCATCTTGGGAGGAGATTGCCGGCGATTCTGACCGTTTCCTCAGTCCTGGAGGATCCTTTCTTTCATTCACTCAAAATCCGCACCGACCCGCCCGACACTGCATCCACGTTTGTACTTCAATAATAGAATACTTTTTTCTTCGTCTGCGACATTGGCTTCCATAGCGCCTAAGCCCGTAAGGTCCTCAACATCATCGTTCCCTTCGTAGTGAATGGTCCACTTGTGTAAAAAGTGTTTAGCTTTTTCGCTGGTACACAGCTCAAGTGTCCTCAAGATATGCTGCTACGCGCCGACCCAGACAGCATTGTCCGACATTGAAACCACCGTAACCATCGATCAATCTACCTCCACAACCCTAACAGAGGGCCAACTCGCAATTCTCCGTCACTTTACAAGTTTCGTTCAATATGTTCGGGCGCAATCTTCATTATGAACTTGCCTGTTCCTGTGCGTCGTGTTTCCCAGCTCTCGACATTTCCACCGGCCGCCGGTACGTAGTAACATTGCGCCCACCCGAGCAACTTATTCCATGGTCAGCGTGTTATCGGAGTTTCCGAGGCAATTTTCCATTACTTCACAACCCCATACTCCACTGCCCAGGCGCCGAATTCCGGCAAACAAGTCTCGCGTGGTCCCGTGGCAAGGTGAGGATCCAGTCGATGTTCGAGCTTGCAGCGATCGAAATCCGCGTGTCCATCCCACAAGCAACAAATGATATTCGTAAGAGTACAGCACGGAGACCTACAAGTGGCTTGTGTGCAATGGTTCTCATTCCTCTTTTGTACGTGCGGCCATACTCTCTCATGCACCTCCTGTGTGCCAAACGGTGTTACCACGTTTGCGACGTAACAACTATGGGTGCGGAGCAGGCGCAGTGCACATCGTAAATGGGACAATATTATTACAAACTTTTATGCATTTCTCAGCTGTCGGGGTGAGAGACAGGTTAGGATTGTCCATCCTAAACTCAAAGGGTGCAGACCGCTGGGTGGCGAAACAGGGGAACCAAGATGACTGAACGCCAGAGTTTCGTACTAGTAAGCATTCGCCTCCTGCTCACTCATCACCCTCAAAGATTCCTAGTCAGACTCCTCAGGATGGCCGCAATAATAATTATGTGCTCTGTTCGTCACTCTAGACTTAATCCAATCTTGAACGGCCTTTTCGAATGCTCTGCATTATGATGTCCGAGGTCGGCGAGGGCAGCGTAATGTAGGCGCTAACTTGTTCGTTGAGGCGGAGGCAGGCAGGTATATAATCCAATGCGGATAGGAAAGGATGAGCTAACGTACCGAGTCTATCTAATATAGAGGCTGGGTCCTACCTACGTACCGAGGGGGTTCAATACCGCCCACCACACCGGCAATCCGAGTGGGTAAGATCGCTTCTACATCAGCTGGAAGGACTATTTTAAAGATACCGAATTTATTACGCCGGCCTTGCTGACGATCCACAGGAGGAACCAATCTGACTTTATAAGCTACAGGCATGTATCGTTCACTTGTCGGGATCTGAAGGAGCAACGCGTAGAAACGTGGTCTTTCTCGCTCCTCAGTTATTGGACCCGGTGAACCAGTCAAATTACTGTAGCTGGATCTGGGATGGGCTTCGCAAGGTCTGAATCAGGCAACAAGAGTCCGAATGTGAGGCGACAGCATTTTCTCGCGTAGATTGGTTTCGGAGAATTGACCGATATCCCACGTACTGGGACATGGACGCGAATTCCACTGCACATCCCCAAGGGAAATACACACTGTGCTTCTGCTCGACCAGTGTGTAGATGATTTGGAGACACAAACAGAAGATGTGCAAGCCTTGAGCACTGGTACAAGCCGGTCGATACTGGAGGTGACAGAGCTGTTCGGGGAAGCGTCGGAGTAATTCTATTGGCAACGCCAGCACTGCAAGCGCCAAAAAAACCGCGCCCGATTTGGATAAATCGCCCAGCTACACAGAATTGACTGTTCCTCACCATTTTTTTTGCTACTTTTGGATGATATGATCCTCTGGAAGAGGGGAATCCTCATATTCACCTCAGCCCCGTTGCAGTACGAGAAGTCGTAAAGTCCAAAAAACTATATATAAAGAGCGGGGACACGCTCCACGATTCGCGAACGCCGATTGGTTGGAGTGAGGTCTCACACGCTCTCATTGGATGAAGGCGCCTACTTCAGCTCCCGTTTGGGATGTACTCGCTTAGCTCATCGCCCCTTTAGCGCACTTCCTCACCCATTTTGGTTCTGCTTGCTTAAGTCCAAGTTGGTCACAGCGAACGCCCATATTCCAAGAGGTGTCTAATGCAATGCATACCACAACAACGTCTGTCCTACAGATTGAGACACTGAACTCTCTATCATAGGCAAAACATTGCGTTGGATGCAATACTGTAGTACACAGAAACATCAACACAACCACCACCCAAAATATGACAACAGAAACTGGCCCTAACGTGGAATGCCTGGATTGTCGTACAATCCGACCTCACCTCCCCCTGGCATTGGAGTCTCTGTATCCATACCAGGGGTCGTGGGCGAAGGAGGCAGGAGGTTCGCACTGATGTTGGGATTCCTCAAGCCGGAACTCACGGTGGACATGCGATACGTTTCTGACAGAGGAGCGCCTCTATACGCTGCGTCGGGATTTTTCAACGAAACTGGACGATCGGAAATCCCAGGATTATTCGAACGGGATTTCCCGGTGTTGTCTCCATCGGGCGCGAGTCGAGATCGTATTAGTGGCTGGTCCATTGCGACCCCGTTTCTTCATTCGCTTGCCGACTCTAAGACCGCCGAAGCCCCTAAATGAAAAGGGATTCTGGAGGAGACCAGATTTCGGCTGCGGCCCATCATCCGCTGTCGCCCGGTCTCTCCCACCGTGCCCTCGAAAGTACATAATGCCGACGATGACAACCACAACTATAATGACAGCATTAACGATTAGCACGGCTAATAGAGCTGGTCCCTACGATTCGATATGATTTACTTTACGGGCAAGGTCATCCAGGGAGAAGGGGATCGGGGTGTCGGAGAGCCAGATCCCGTGCCGGGATTAGAGGGTACCTTGAGTGTCGATGAGCTACCTTGCTGATTTTGAAACTCGGGAGATGTTGGTGGTTGGCAAAAGCTGCAGTAGTGGGGACAATTCAACATTAGGAATAACACAATGGCAGATTGTTCACCTTCACGTATGGACCCCCCATTGTGAGCTTCGACGAATCTGTGTAATCACCAAAATCGAAGCTACCAATGCATGAGCTGGTCGGACAGTTGTTATGTGTTCAAAGAGATTTTACTCACACCGTATAGATATTTTGGAGGAAGACATCGCCAGCAACAGCATCATACTGTCCACTTTCACCCAAGCTCTATGATCCAATACATTTGTTCTTGTTGCCGAGCACGGAAACAACAAGGTTCAGATGCAAGTCGATCCGACGACCACTGCGAGCCGGAAATATCCAATGCAGGAAAGAAAGAAACCAACCCAATCCAGAATCCGAAATAAATCACAAGGTACGACCCAATGACCTACAGATCATGCCATGATATTTCAGTTCTGGAATGGCAGATAGGGAGTAACAGCCGACGAACCAGCACTGCTGTCGTACGTGGTACCTCGAACGACAACTGCTTTTCCATTCGGGACGGAAGATGCACTCGAAGTTAGAGTCTTCGCCCCATCTGAGACCTCGTATCCGTCCTAAAAGACAAAGCACGGAAATGTCGAACAGGAGTTCGCTTTGGCGAAAGAAATATAACACGCACGATATGTTCCAACGCGTTGGATTTGACTGGAAATAAACCATAGATGAGGTATGTCGATGCGTGCATACCACGGGCCAAGTCGGAATCGGACTCAGGCTTGTTGACATCACATCCGTATAAGCCGGGTCCGATTCACCTATAGACGCGTATATGTCACCAATATCTTCCAATTCTTACAAAGCAAAAAAAACTTACCAATGGTGAACCCTCCTTCATCTAATAGTGTACCGCTTTCAGCCCGCCTCAGAGAAAATATCATGTAATTACTCCAATTGACCAAATCTCGTTCAGACATCCGTCAGGCTGCAGAGCCTAATTAGACAAAAATTCCACAGTAGTGTCGTACTTTTCGTTGGATCGATTTGACAATACTGAACATCAGTTGGGAGACTGCTCGGGCGAGGTTCGAAGGACCAAGCCATCATGGATCTTTCTCTGCCCTCTTACTTGAGATATCGCCGTGGCATCCGCCTACTTGTTGACGGCAAATTATGCTCCGCCCGCACCCATCACGATTAGGTTTGGAGGCGGGGTTTTGGAACATTACTGGGGATGCTGTCCCCTCCGCTGCGACCGCGCTCGACATCAGAATGGATGTTATGCGGGGTCAGTGGCACATCACAACCTCCCTGAAGCCGGGCGTGTGCCTATCTCTCTCCTGCACTCGGGAGTTGGGCGGTTTTGGGTGATATCATGTATCATTCATGCTGATAGTGATGATTTTGACAATAAACGTGCTCCTTTGATCCAGTCTCACTGTTACCGATTGGAGTCGCGAAAATGCACGAGGTCTTGGTCCACCGAGCAAGACCTACACGTTCACCGCGTCGCTATGCTGTAAATGTCGTTTCGGGCTAATGTGACAGTAGCCGAGCGAGCGTTGTCTGTTACAGATCCATTTTGCCGATAGTGAAGTTTTACTCCTTGAGGTTTCCGAGGCCCACACAACGTAATGCCTGAAAGTCTAGCCTACCCTAGGTGCGTGTATGCTCGTTCGTAGAAAGATATATTCGATCCGCATACATATACAAGTGAATTGGTGTATCAGTGCAGAACCACGGTTGGCGCGCGGCATTTGGTCAAGAATCATTGAATGTTTCGGTAGGTGATTGCATGATGATCAGGTTATTATTCAGCTAAAATAGATAGGGTCGCTTTAAGAACGAGAGGTATCATCATCTGGCGGACATGAGTAGGATGTACAGATCAGTGGCTTGCCCATGCACTGACGAAGGTTCGCTTTTGAAACAGAAGATTAGAAGATGTATGAGCCGGCTGTAAACTTAGCTAATGCAAAGCAGGTGAAAATGTGTGTATAAATGCCAATCACACATTCATAGTACTGATTCACGCTTTGCACTGTTTGTGGGCTGAGTTACCGATCACCCTGTTGAGTCGTGCTCCTGCACAAGTCAAATTGATGGGAAAAAAGTTATAGGCCCCATCGTGTCCAAAGGCCGGATCATTAATGCAGTGCGGGTCCTCCATCAAGGTTGTCCGTCACCGATCCGGCAGCCCAAGCCCGGAATCGTTGACGCCCAAGAGAAGGGATACACGAGAGACGTTGCACCCTTCCATAGACAATAACGGGGAGATCCGTAGTCCGTAGATATCCTATGTGGCAACATGCGATTGGCGACGGTGAGAGGGTAGACGTGCTCTGTGTCTCATACCGGAACACATCCAAATTGAACACTGTCGGATGAAAATAAGGGTAATTTTCCCAGGGTGGCTTAATCCAACCCAACAAAAGTAATTCCCCAAAGCATAAACAGCCTTCACCTTCACCCAACTTTTCCTCTTGCTTTCACCTCTTCCGCAATATCGCTAACAATGGCCGAGGCACCCATCAAGACCATCAACCTCGAGACTCTCAAGCAAACAGCCAGCGTGACAGTCTCTACGTCCTCATCAGTGGCAAAGGTTTGTAGCAGTCCAGTTTACAGCCCAGTGTATGTTGTGCTCAACGGCGTTCCATTAGTATATGATGCCACCAAGTTTTTGGACGAGGTGTGTTGCCTCTGCGGACTGGCGCTCTCTGACAAGCGTTCTCATGTTTTGTACGTCACAGCATCCTGGCGGTGACGAGGTCATCCTCTCCGAAGCTGGTGAGTTCCATGTGGTCGTTTTCTTCTCTGTTCCTCATAAATGTGGTATATCCATAGGCAAGGACGCCACAGAGGCGTTTGAGGATGTTGGACACTCGGATGAGGCCCGCGACTTGTTGAAGACTCTGTATATTGGTGACTTCGACGGCCCTCAGTGAGTGATTTTCCCACTCTATCTCCTCCCTTTGTGTCTGTCTCATACTCCGCTTTCCAGATAAAGTCCTCCTACATTCACCGTGGGGAGGGAGGCGACACTTCGGGTGGAAGGTAAGCCCGATTCGCATAAAGATTTGTCAATCAACTAACTGGCACCACACCCCACAGCCCAGTTTTCTACCTCTTCCCACTTGCTCTCTTTGGCGCTATCCTCGCATACCGTTACTACCTTGCATGAACTCACCATAGATCTAAACTCCGCATTTATGATACTGCCCTTACATTAGCTTCGTTTCAGACATTAACTATCTATTGTTTTTGTCCGTGTTAAAACCGACCGCTTGGGTCTTGGAGTGTACGATGTGGGCTACCGGTTTTTCGATTTCCAGAGGGGCCTGGCCTTGTGATGATTCTTAACTGCTACAATCTTACTCAACACAAGTATGTACTGCCCCAACGAATGCTCTTGTCGGGTCGTACCATCCGCGTCGACGTGAGAAAATTTGCACATGATCAAGTTCTTTGCCCTCCCCAAAAGTAAATTCGATTTATCGAACAAATTGATGGCGACAATCCTCGCATTGCGCACGCGCAGCGCAATGCTTCAAGGGAAGGGAACTTCCATGAGAATTATCTCTTCGATAACACCTCATGAAGTTGTCCGATTTGCAAGTTCCAAAGCTGGCGATGTGAGCATTGAGCTTCACGGAATCGGTGACATCAGAAATATTCACATGATTTAACTTTAAATGCTTAATGTCGGTGGTACATATCTTGAACTGACAGTGGGGTCTTGTTGACTCGTCGTTGGTTCGAAATAAAGGATTGATTGGTGGGAAATGGGTTGATGCCAAAGATGGACGTGTGGTCGATGTACACAGTAAGTTCTCTCTTATTCCAGACCCCGGCATTTCCAATGAGATTTAACAAAAATCCATTCCAAGATCCTGGGACTCGCCAGAGTTTGGGAACTGTACCTGAGATGGGAGTTGCTGAGACGAAGGAAGCAATCGAGGCTGCCCAGGCCGCTTTCAAGAGTTGGAGCCGAACGACCGCCAAGGTGAAGAGTTATTAATTGTTGTAATGAGTTTCAGTCCTATTGATAAGAGAGCTTCCTACAGTATCGACATGATGTTTTGAAACAGCTTTACGCGTTGATGATGACGCACCATGATGACCTAAGTCGAATAATGGTAGGTCGTGCAAGTCTGTGGGTTATTCAATTTAATGACGGCGGCACAGACGATGGAGAATGGGAAGACTTTGGCCGAGTCGAAGGTACGAGTTTGTCAACCCCCTTGTTGGACCAACC